ATGGTGCAACGTAACAGGGCGACCCTCCCTGCAGGGCGTACCCGTCCACCACACGAGGTTTTCATCCCTCGTGCATGCTGCCAGATCTGCAAGGTGGAAAACCATCCAAGCAGTCATAAGTGCGGCTTGTGCATTCGTAAATAACTCCAGCTACCAGATATTTTATCCGGTCGGGGGAAAGTCAGGCCAGTAAAACAGCTCAGTCATTTCGAACAAGCGAACAGCAAACAGCCACTGGAAGAGGCAAGTCGCGGGAGCAAATGAATCATCAACTACCTTTTGGGCAATGGGAGTGGAATGGAGATGTTCAGAGTCTGTGTACTAGGGCTAAACGAACACGAAGCATTGGTGTGAACCACTTCGTCAAGTAGAGGTGCACCGGTGCTATGTGTATGTGTGAATGATTGGGCTGTGGGGCCAAACAAGTATTTCGTTCATAGCGCATCTCCAGACCCACCATTTGATATGTGTACGGCGCACGTATTCAGGGGATGCAGAATGGTTCGGAACAGTGTGGAACTGAGGCTTTAGTTTGGCTGAGGTTATTTAAATCCAGCCAAAGCAAAGCACCAGACATTAAATAGAGCTGACAGAGTTACTCAGGGATGGGACCAGGCTTGAAGAACTAGGAATAATTGGGCTGGGTACAAAAGCTGAAGGTCGGAGGAGGGATATGCAACCGGGTCAGTGGAGACAGGCATGAGAGAGATAGAGTGGCGGGTTATAGATAAGAACACTTGGGAGGGTAGTTGTCGCAATTGCGGACTAATGCTAAGGGTTCCAGGTTGGTAAGTGTAAGTTCTAGGACCTAATAACAGGACAGTCAAGGTGAGTGCGCTGATTAGAAAGGCTTAGGGCCTATTTCAAAAAAAGTATCTAGTGTAAGCTGAGGCGCAAAAAGGCGCTCAGCTCCCTCGATAGAAAAGTAAGAATCGATGGCCTTTCGAAAGCCAACGTGAGATGAAATAGTACGGATATGGGAGGGGAGCTTGTTCCACAGTTTAGAATAAAGGCAAAGGAAAAAGTTTTGTCTGAAGACAGTTCGGCACGTCGACAGTGAGAGTAAACATCCTGAATTACGGATATTATAGGGAGTACGGGAAGAAAATTCAGGGCCGCAGTCAGCTATGTAAGCCCGCCGGTAGATTAAGCGATGCAGGAGGCCTAGATTCAACCTGATGCGCCTTAGCCATAATGGATCCAGCCCAAGTGATGAGCAGCGAAGACGATACGGTAGTGTAGATGACACCGGAAACAGGGACTTAGTAAACGAGCGCTGCACATTCTCCACAGCAGTCCGGCATGTTTGTGAATACTGTGAGGCGAATTCAGGGCTGGATTCAAGAATTGGTCTTACAAATTGTTTAAAAATGGCAATTAAACAGGATTTGTTATGGAAGGATCGGCGAATGTAAGCGCAGAGCTTGCGAGCTTTAGCCACTCTGTACCTTACATGTTGGTTGAAGCTAAATGTACAGGAATACCTAAGGCCTAGGTCTCTCACTTCAGGAAGAGTAGGAATGGAGAGACCGTTAAGGGTAAGCGTCCCAGGAGGAATTTGGAATCGATATGACGGGGCTTGGCATTTTGGAACAGCGAAAGAAAGACAGGAGTTGGAAGACCAGAGTGATAAAGAGTTTAAGTCAGACTGAATGTTAGGAAGGGTAGAAGCAGAATCACTGGCCTTAAACGTGTAAGCTATCTTAATGTCATCAGCAAACAGAAAAGGGGATCCATGGGTGATCGAGTCGGTGACGTTATTAACGTACAGTGAGAACAGTAGAGGGCCAAGCACACTACCCTGAATAACTCCACTGGTAATGGGGGGGCTGAGGAGCAGAGATCCCCGATTTTGGTGGCCTGGGTTTTACCGGTGAGGTAAGAAGCGAACCATCGCAGTAGTGGGTCACCAGTCCCCACCAACCTCCCATTACAACTTGTCAACCGAAGGACCCGGTAAGTCCCCTTCTTTTCTGTGTGTGATTCGATTGTACTACGGTGCCTCTGGTAGCCACCATACATAGTTTGTTTATTATTAGTGTTGTGACTTCGAGTGAAGCCAGTTGCACTCATATATTGGTGAGCTAGACTAAATCAGTCCTACATTGTCAGACTTTCCAGTACAAGCTATCCCCTCAACTGCAGCCATACTATCACCCAGCATCAATGCCACCTCACTTCATTTTCCGCCTTTCTAGAAAGATCACTTTTGCAGTTGGTTTACGCAGGTACAGTTTGTGATGCGAAGTATTGCTGGAGAACACATTATGTACTGTCATGTGTTAGCCGTACTTCTAGCAGAAATAGCTGCGGATCTGCATGATGTCCCATGGCCCCAGACAGCGTCAAACCTTACACCTAATTACGCGAGACGATTATCGACCGTACAACGCTTTCGGAAAGTAAAAGACTCTAACAGCTGATTGGTGGTGAGACGCTCCACAACATCTGAATTCTGATGATAAAAAATTCACGAAGCCATATTCAAGCAACTTTTGCTTAAACGTTTGCCAACACACGTACAATCCGTCCTGGTAACAGATACCTACAAGATCCCATTGACGCAAATCGCCAACATAGCGGACAGAATGCAACGAAGATCCAACTTAACCCACCTCATCTTAATACTTTTGACACGTTTACGGATATTCCATCACTTCACACCCGTATAAACGAGCTGGCTTAACGAATAGCGGCTATCACTTTCGATCGCAACACACATCTTCGGTTTACGTCTCCGCATCAGCAGAGACACCACCGTCGTACTTCCCATCCCGTTCTTCAGGGTACTGTTCGTACTATAACCTGTTCGGCCGACGTGCTCGAAAATGCCAGCGCCTTGTTCATTTCGAGGGTCACGATCTGTAGTTAAATCTCAACCGGAGAACCCAACAGGCCGGACGGTAGAGGCGAGCAATGTCCAAGACCTAGATTACAACACACGACACCCCCTTCTCTTACATAGGAATTGTGGTCTTTTGTTTCTAGTCGATACCGGCGCTGATATTAGTGTCATTCCTGTAGCCGCTACTACCACCGAAATGACACCTTCCCCGCTTACATTGCGGACTGCCAATGGTACAAGCACTAAAACATACGGATAACCAGCGCTACACGCCAGCCCCGGCTTACTAAGAGACTTCAGATGGTTTTCCATCATTGCAGAATACATCAACCAATGCCGGAAGCAGATTTTCTGACTCATCATGGTTTACCAGTGGACCCAAAATAGTATATTATATAATGTGTATAATATATGTCCAACATCGCGTTGACATCGGTTTCCGGCCCAGTCTGCTCGGCAAGTAGTTGGGAGTGGATGTCATGGCCGGTTGATCATCTTAGGCACTTAACTTACACCCCTGTGATACTCCCACATCCTCGAAGTAGATCGAGAGATAGGCTACTTTGCTGACTTCACGTAGTAATGCGGACTATGTAGCTGGTTTATTCGAGTTATGTCATCAGCTGTGTCCATCTTTTTCCCTCGCGCGTCATGACAGTGCCGGGCTTCCACATACTGCCATCATGCACTTAGCGTTCTGGACTTGATCAAAAATGTGGAAAAAAGGTTTCGCTGCGTACAAAAGGGTTTTAGTGTAAAACTCGGACTCTGGCGGCATCCGCAATTTCTATTGCTAGAGGTACACCAATTCAAATAACACAATGACTGAGTACATCCTCCCATGGGGACCTCAAATTTTCACAATGGCTTCAGCACATCGTAGACACCCAGCTGACGGATGACATTGACATGACTACGCTATACGGTTATTGTTATCGGCGTGGGGGTTCATCAAATAGATTACAAGAATAAATGGTGAAAGCTTCATGTCTTATAGTTTTCCAAACGTATTAGGCTGGCTCAGGTTAAAAATCTATCAGGATTTCCGTGGTGGCGCTGATCTTGTGACTTAGTTAAGTGTCTAATATTGATAGACTGGTCCTTAAATAACAGCGAAAACCATGTACCACTGCGCAGATGGAGTAAGGTGAGATATACAGTATGAGCAAATGTTAGTTCACAGATATCGTTAGATGCGGTCTTTCTGTGCTCCAATTCGTGGTCCACTTTCGGATTGTAGTCCCCACCTGCGAGATCACCCGAGACCCAGCGCTGTTCGACGTTGTGCATCCGCGGTGAGTATGTGTCATGAACGAAATTTGGCACAGTATCCTCGAGGCGGCGGTGATTCTATGATCTACTTATTGAAAAACGATCTATCGAGAAAATAGCATCAAGCCCAGTTATGGGTATGCGACAAATTGTAGAGATCATTCCATGGAATCACGTGACACAAGTGCTACGTCCACTTACTGTGCATACCGTCGGGAAAAACATCTCCGCGCGTAGCATCCTGCTGCCAATAAACTTTGTTGCTGTAAATCTTGTTACTGTTACTATGTAGCTGTGTCCGGCACAAACAGAGCACATGTAAACAACAAAATTCAGAGAGAAGAAAAAGCGAGTGCAGTGCAATTAAATTGCTCCAACTGGAGCACCGATGCTGCTAAGTAGATAAATGTGAAGAACTTCCTTCTGACTACTGCTTTACATGATTTCCAGGACCCCTACTTCCCCATGAAAGCGCTGTCCAACCTAGTCTTCCGATGTGCATGATCGCCTGTTGGTAGACAGCTGTGGTCGGGCTTCCTTGATATAATCCATGCTTTCACCCTCGGTCAACTCACACACATGCCTAAAATGCTGACACATTAGTCGCCTCGTGCCGTTCGATTGCTGGGTCCTTCCCAAGGGCCGCCAACCACTTGATCACTGTGACAGACACTGTCGTCTGGTTTTTGCTCACCACCCGAGATATTTTTACTGACGCCTCCGCTTGAACATGTTTGACATCCCACAAATGTACATGGGATAAAAAGCTTGAGTCCTCAAAATGTGGTATAAATATACATTCTTACATTGTTACCGCATAAGCCCTTATAACTCCTGAAACATGAGTCATAGGTGAACTAGATATCAAGAAATAGCTGCGGAAGTGGCGCGTATTTTGGATCTTTAGCCATTGCCGCCCGTCAGCTGATCGCCGCGGTTGCGTCAATTCCACACTCTCCTCCTGGCTCCTTTGTGGTTGCCAGGGGTGAAGAACCATAACTCTGGCATTTTCTGGCCATAAACGTACCACCCATACTGACCCGGAAGTTCGGAATTACCAATGGTAACCCACTTGTCCTTTTTCAATTTTCTCCTAGGACACATCGCGGTCACAAATCACACACAGGCGGATGCATTCCGATGGATCTGCCCAGCTTGGAAGCTTGTCAGCAGATGATTTGCGTGAACCAATTGATGGCAAATCCATGAACGATGGACTAACTGATATATCTTCTTGTTCTGGTATAAGAAAGAGGAAATTCCAAGAATTTTGTCTGCTGGATGATTCCTCCAGTCTCTCAACTTCATCTTGTCGGGCTGGTCGTTCCGAAAAAAGCGCCGATATTTCATTGACATCTCAACACCAGAAAGCTCATCCCCATACTACTTTTACACATAGACGATGTGCTAGTCACAGTGGGTACTTAACGTCGGCTGCTCACGAACTCGGAGAAGCGGCTATTTGTGCTGTTGAGCAAGCTGAAGAACTTGTATTGCATCTCTGGAAGCAGGGTTGGAAGGTGGTACATCATCACAGTTTGCCTCATTGGCTCAAAGATAATGATTTCTTGTTGCGTGGCCATCGTCCCCAGCTGCCTTCTTTTCGAGAATGCTTTCGGTCTATTTTCCGATTGCATACGGAGACAGGAAATATATGGACACACCTTATCGGTAAGCTATGTAGGCTTCAGTTCGAAGACACATTTGAGGTTGTGGAGCATTCTACGTACCTTAGAATTGGTATTAGTTCCGATTGTAGTGTCGCGGATGAGGTCAATCCACGAGTCTTCAATGCTCGGGTCGCGTTTGCTGATCTGAGGTAGCTATGACGTCCCCATGACCCTGAACACTTCAGAGCCTGTTTTCAAATCCCTCATACCGATTGACTGTAATGTTCGCTAACTGAAACAAACAGGACAGACTGGCTCTTGGTCGTATGCTGGATTTCCTCTGCACTGATGTATGCTATCCATCAGAAACAAGTATACAGGACGCGAGCACTGTAAATGAACTAAATAACACTTCACTGCCTGTTGGGTTCTGGCTGCACACCTTTGGCGATACGGAGCCTAATTCAACTGGATATGTCGCAGACGGTATTGTGTTAAGCGATCGAGCGAAAACGTTTCTACGCGACTGGACAACCATTGATAGTCGCTTTTGCGTGGTTCGTTTGGCAACGTTTGTGAAAAGATCTCGTGAAAGTGAGGTCCGTCCTACCCTGGTTATTGCTTCTGCTTACGGCCCGACTGATTGTGGCTCTGAATCTGATAACAGTTTCATGACGCTATGGGTGCTCCGGGCTAAAATCTCAGACATCGTTTTGGTTGCTGATGACGTGGTCGCTCAGGCAGGTAGATTGAATAAAATTATTTAGGGTATACCAAGCGCTGCTGAGGTTCGATTGATTGTTCATCTTGGCTTGGATACGAGACGCACGGGGTGCGCTCGCTTCAAACGTGTCCCAGTCACAGGCTTCCCTTCAAGTACCGATTTCCCGAACAGGGGAAATCGCTTGACAACGTGTCGCCCATCAACAAACTAGCCCCGAATCCAGACAGATCACATCGCCGTCAGCTATCTGTGGCGAGGGCAGATCACAACCTACCTTTCGTTCTGGAGTACCAGCGTGGGATCCGACCATGCACTGTTTCTTTTCACTATGATTTTCAGGTATACCCAAAAGGCGCACACCTCACTTGACCCATGAGAGCTTATTGGGTCCAAAAATCAAACGAATCTGTCAGAACCGACTCCTCGAACGCTTGTAGGATAGTCGCATGTTAGGTATTAACGGCCACTGTGAATAGACTCCAAAGTGCCACTCAAAGCTTTAACTTCTGTCTGCGGTACAACCCAACCAACCTCATCCAGAATACGGTCTCATAGGTCTGTGACTTTGCTGGGGGCTCGCCGAGTTATTTATCCTGGTCCCAAACACAACTCATCCGACACCATCCAATGCCGTTTGAAGCTGAGTGTTCGTTCGGATAGCTAAGTTTTTGTGTATCTGAAACGCCCGAGAAATGAAGGATGCGAAAAAAGTTTAAAAATTCAGCATCCTGTCTCACTTGATTCGTTGGACTGGCCCTTGGAGACCCCTTTTCAGCGAAATTATCAGGAGCCAGAATGGTTCTCTGATGTCCGGCAAGGCAGAACGTTTGGGCCGATGGGCACAGTGCTTGAAAAAGCAATTCAGCTCACCACCTGGCCTTCATCAGCAAGGTGAACTGTAGATATGGAGCCCTCTACAACCTCAAAAGCGTCCGAGTCTATACGTCTAGTCAAGCGTCATCAAGCTCCTGGTCCTGATCACTTTCCACCTGATTCGTTCATTGATGGTGGTGAATGCCTGTCTAGTCTATTTGTGTCTGCCTGGGGGAAGCAAACCGTTTCAGACAACTGGGGTGGTTCGATAACAATACTAACTTTCAAAATTGTGTTCGCAGTAAATCTAGTAACCACAGCGGGCGAAATGGCATAGTGCTCACAGCGCGAATTTACTGACCATGATTCGAACCCGACCCCTGCATCTCGACTTCTTTTGTCTAAGCTTGGGCAACCTGGCAGTATCCCGGCCCTCATGTTTCCTTCGGGTGGCATGGCAACTACGCACCGGAAGGGTGCTACACCTGAGAGTAGTAACCATGGAGGTGTTAGTTTGACTTTCGTTCCAACAATGCTTCTGGTGTCACTGATTCTTCGTCGTCTTGCGGTGGCACGCAGGTGATTGACACTTGAGTGTCGAGCGGGATTTCGACCTGGTGGAGCCTGTATCAGCCACACCTTCGCACTCCATCAGATAATAGAGCAACGCTGTATACACAGACGACCCACAATCTTGGTGTTCCTTGACTTCAGGGATACTTTCGATTCTGCCGTTAGGCCGGTGCTGTTAGCTGGACTTGCTCAACAGAACATGCTGCACAAGTTTGAACATAATCTGGTCCCCATATCTACATACTTCTGGGCCTATTAGAGTATATATTGAGCTCTCCAAAAGCTCCCTTACAAAAGGTGGTGTCCAACAAGGATGTACACTCTCTCTGTCCTTATTCAACTTTGTCCTTCCTAGAGTTTCTCGCCTCCATCTCCGCTTTGTTGATCCACCAGGCTTATCGATCCTTTCAGATGTACTATTTTACCTGAAGTCTATTCATTGAGCGGTACTGTACTCTCGACCAGGAAGATACGTGCCTGAGCTTTGAACAGTTTTAGGGGGTTGTTCGAGATCCATTGCCTAAGTTTGGTTGGTAAAACCATTCCGTTAGCGGAGTGCTCAGCTTCTTCCAGGGTTTCGGACACTACCTTCCAGCAAGAGGACGTCTTGTCCGAAGGGGAGTCCAGTAGGTAGCTTTCGTAGGCTTGTTCCACATCAAGGTCTGAGGATTTTTCACTAGTCAGACGATGTGTGCTCATCTTTCGTGCCGCTGAAAAGCGCAGCGAGAAGCAGCAGCCAGCAAACGCGTGATCCGAAACCGGAGCAACCGACAGCCAGTAGTTGACCCACCTATTGCTGGTGGCTATATCCGTGTTGAAAGTTGACTCATATGCGGAGCTCAACTCTGTCTCCACAAGCACCCAAGACGTCGTAAAAGCCGTCTTTGCGTGTATCAGAGTTACATTATTGGGGCGTGGATGGATGCAGTAAAAACCAGTGTTAATGTGCGCGTTTACGTGACGCTGTCACAGACTTTGCCAAACGAACCGCACAGGATACTATCAGCGGACGACAATGAAAACAGGCACCCTCCAGCTGAGTTGCTTAGACCAATGCCGACCCCAGAAGGACCAACAGCAACAGCTTCTAGATCGCCAGGGGTCATTACCAGAAGTAAGCGGAAAGCGATGGGTATGTCAGTTCGGCAACCGTACTTGTGTCTTGAATCCTCGCTTCATACAGGCAGCATATCTCAGTAGAAATAGAGTCTGGCTTACATGCAAGAGCAGTCTGTTGTCCAGCTTATTTCATAGGTCGGACGTTAAAGGCTGGGTTTGAGAGACGATTTCGGAGTGTGTGACAATGGTCGCCGCGTTGGCCGTAGATATTTCAGCCAGTGGAAGTGGACAGCGAACGCATTTGTCAGTTCTTAGGCATAGGTCTATGGAGTTGTCGTTTACAACAACGTGATGAGGGGAATTAGAAAAAAACTTGTGAAGGTAAAGAAGAGGATCTGCAGTAGCCGGTTTTCGCCTACCCACCTTGCTGCATGTCGCACGTAAGGTGACCCGGTTGACGGCCCAGATGGCATAGTATTGTGAATGTGAATGGACTGGGATACTGCGGGCATGCCCAGACCTAGACAGGAAAACAATTAGTGTCCCAAACCAAAGGTTTTGGCGCAAATGCCTAACCGCAGGGCAGCGCATTTGGCGTAAGGCTGTCAGAGTATCCTTCGTTCTTAAGGAGCAAGTCTTGGATGATGATTTACGTGAAATGTTACTAGGGGATGCCGCACGAACTTAATCTTGCCGCGTTTTGTTGGTTTACGTACCTAGTAACCATTGAGTTGTACTGGAGAATGTCTGCAGCATCCACAGAGTCTCCGCTTAGACTGGTCGATGGATAGATGTCTGATGAACACAGCATTTCGGTTTTCCAGGCTGGGTGTTGGAACAATCGTGATGGTTTCTTCCTTAAAATTTGTGCCACTCGAGCAGTCCCAAAGCAGCCACTGTGACCCTACTGTCAGGTTTTGAGACAAAGGCTTTGGTTTAGGTCCGCCGTCGTCCTGTCAAGATTTGCGTTCACTGGGAGTTTCTCAATCTATTTATAGCCATGAACTTTACGGATAAAAGTACCTTCATACCACATTAGCCGTTGCGTGGTGAAACCTGGTGGGTCGTCGTATTTGTTGCATACAGTAGAGTGAGTAACCGAAAACGTGACTGTTGATGCCTCCCATCTTTCTTCATTGTTGTCAACCTCCGACCTACCCAACTTGGCAGATGCCCTTTTCTAGGTACTAGCTGTAGGCACTTCAGTAATATTCCTATGGAGTTGGTACGACACCCGCCCTCACCCAGGTCTGCTGCTCCGAGTCCGTTATTCATTCTTCTGTTCTGCTGTTTTTACTGAATTCTTTAAAATGAGGAATTGGTCACCAAGGTGCGGTCGCGCATGCTGTTGGTATTCTGTAGGTTGATGTCTGTTGCATCAGGCCGCCTCATGTTTCAGTCGCTACGATATTCGAGATATCGCGATGCATGTATATCTTCGTAACGAAGCGGACTGGTGCAGCACATTCAGTTGTCTGGGAACATCACAAACGAAAGGTCCAGCTGGGTTCCAGGTGAGTCTCTCAAAAAACCAGATTAGTTTGTAAGTGAGTGTATATTCGCTATTTTCGTGCAATTTGGTTGCAAGTAGAACATAAGGTTGACGGAAACCCGGGGACTGTGCCTACCTGATGCGCCTCAAAAAGGGCGAAACCGGTCGTGGGCTGTCGACGGATTTTCAGCAACCTTATGAGTAGTACATTACAAAGATCAATGACACCTTTGCTTTAGGGTTCTCTTGAACAGAAACCTATTTATTGGTGGCCACTTTTCCTGTTTTTGCTAGCCGTTCTAAGTTCTAAGCTCCGTAAAGCTATGGTTCTTCTTGGATTGCTTCTAGAAATGCCAAATGAGACTTTGGTCTCTGTCTGATTAACCAGTTTGGCCAGAGA